TATATTGTTGGGAGTATATATATATGAAGAGTGTATTTTCAAAATGCGGTATATCCATTTTTGTGGTATTGAGATAATTGACTTTTTTCGCCACAGCAATATGTCTCGTATATTTGGAAAAATTATAGTTTCTTAATGTATATATACATAAAGTATATTATATAATGTTAATAAATAAAATATTATTAAATAAAAAAATTTATTTTTTTTTTGTCAATAAGTTTGCATTTATTCTCAAAATATTGTATATCCAATTAAAGCTTGTTAGCAAAATGTGGTATATCCATTTTATAAAGATGTTATGGAAAGTTTTTAAACTTTAAAAGACCTGAATAAGTTTTAATGATTAATTTTAGTTAACATATTGAACAAATATGTGTATTTAATGTTTGGTCATTATATTTTATTGATAATGTGAATGTAAACAATGTTTTATTAAAGTAAAGTAAACTATTACATTTCACAATTTGCAATTGTAAATTTATATTTGTTTCGGAGAGTTAAATATGGACAATAAACAATAATATTTTTTTAGTGTTGTGTAGTTGTAACAATGATGATCACTATTTTTAAGTCTCCATAGAACTAATGGACAATTAATATAACATAAATGTCATCGTTATATTTTTGAACGAAATAAAATTTTAAAAATGAAATACTGCAATAGCCTCATTTTATTTGCAACAAAGCAATTGTCGGTTTAACAAAAAATAAAAAGGAAGTATTATTATTGAATGCTTTCCATTAAAAAACAGGTAACAAATATATTTAAACTTATTAATTTAAGTTGCCTTTTTAATATATTTTCTATCATTATTCCATAATTCGTTCAGTTAAACAAACAAAGCATGGTAGTTTAAACGAATACTAGAATTAAAAAATGCTTGTCTTTTCTTTTGTTTCATACATCATATCTTTTTTTCTATGTGAAATAGGATATTAGGTAACGCATTAATCTTGTCCATCGCAATTCGCCATTTCTTTAACGCAACTTTAAAATATTTGCGCTTGCGCAGAAGTAATATACATTTGCCACGGATTGGTCAAAATTAAATACCGCATTTTGAAAACAAATAAAAAAATTTTATACCGCGTTTTGAAAATAAATGTTTTTTAGAAATAAAAAAATTTGGGGTTATACTTCGTTTAGCATATATTCGGACACAATGTCTGCTAGGTCCTTATAAACTAAAAATAAACCACACAATTTCTAAAAAATTTTTAAAATGGCGTTTACCGCATTTTGAAAATAAACTCTTCATATATATATATATATATATATATATATATATATATATATATATATATATATATATATATATATATATATATATATATATATATATATATATATATATATATATAAATATATATATATATATATATATATATATATATATATATATATATATATATATATATATATATATATATATATATATATATATATATATACATATATATATATATATATATATATATATATATATATATATATATATATATATATATATATATATATATATATCACTTTTCTTCATGGTTTTCCTCTTATTACGCTGCTGTAATTTCAAATCTTGCCCATTATTCACTATATTTATCACTTAAATAATTCTCCAGAAAACAGATACCTGTTTGCTATTGCTAGAAACCATTGCTTTTGCTAGAAACCATTGTAAAAAGGTTCTTTCTAATGCCAAAGCTCACAATTCTCAAAAATTAGGCTTCCAAAATTACAGGAGAATTTTTAACAGTTACTATAATAAGGACAAATCTATTATTCCTTCACTCTTGCATGGTTCAGATTATGTTATCTTACCTAAAGATAAAGCTGAATTGTTTGCTCAGAACTTTACATCAATCTCATCTCTTGATTCCACTTATCATATCATACCTGGTATAGCCGACAAACAGATTGATCCATTTCTTGATACTCATATCACTCTAGCTTCCTGCTAAGACTCTTCTACAGCTTGTGAACCAGAAAACATATTACAGTTTTGCAGAAGTGTTCTCCAGAACTATTGCCTATACTTTCAAAACTATTTAATAAGAGCTTATCAGAGTCTTGTTTTCCAGCCTGTTGGAAAGCAGCATTTGTTACCCTTTATTTTTTAAAATTCTGAAGAGCGATCTGACTTATCTAACTATCGTCCCATTAGTCTTCTTATTATCATTAGCAAGGATTTCAAGTCTTTAATTAAGAAACACTTAATCTCTCATCTTGAATCTAAAAACTTACTTTCTGATCATCAATATGGATTTCAATCCTCTTGTTTTACTGCTAATTTGTTAATGGTAATAAGCTTTCTTCTTACGGTGTATCAGGAAACATCTTAAGATTATGGAATCCTTGTTTAACGATCATAGTATAAAAGTCTCGATGGACAGCAATCTTTTTCATTTTCTGTAATTTCAGGGGTTCCTTAAAGTTTTATCTTCGGCCCTATAATTTTTTTAATTTACATTCACAATCCTAAAAATTCTTACTTCTAAAGTG